AATGCCATCATTTGTTCTTATTTATGACTGAGTAATACTCCATCGTGTGTATATTCCACATTTTCCTTACCCATTCATCTGTTGAAGGGCACCCAGGTCGGTTCCATAGCTTGGCTCTTGGAATTGTGCTGCTGTGGACATTGCTGTATCCCTGTGGTAGGCTGATTTTAGATCTTTTGGATATGTACTGAGGAGTGGGACAGCTGGATCATATGGTGCTTCCACTCCCCAATGTAGTTTTTATTTACATTTCCCTAAGTGCTAAAGATGTAGAATATTTTTCATATATTTGTTGGCCATTTGTATTTCTTCTTTGGAGATGTTTTTATTTAGTTCTTTTTCCTGTTTATTAATTAGGGTTTTTTTTTTTTTTGTATTTTGGTGTTAAGTTGTTTGAGTTCTTCATATAGTCTGGATATGAATGCCCCATCTGAGGCGGAGATGGCGAAGATCTTCCATTTAGTAGGCTCTCTCTTCAACCTCATTTTTTTTTGTTGAGCACAAACTTTTTAATTTCATGCCATCCACATACTGATTTTTGGGTTTATTTCTTGTGCTTTAGGAGCCTTGTTCAACCAATCTTTAAAAAAAAAAATATTTTGAGACAGGGTCCCACTAAGTGGCCCAGACTGGCCTCACACTTGGGATCTTCTGTCTGAGCCTCCCATTCCGCTGGGGTTTGAGTTATGTGTCGTTGTACCTGGTTTCGTCAGCTTTTCGTTGCTGTGACAAAATAGCTGAGAAAATCAGCCTGATGGAGGGAAGAGTTTCTTGGCTCCTGGTCTCGGAGGTTTCTGTCCACGGCCGGATGGCTGCATTGTTTCAGGGCCTGTGAGGAGGCAGGAAGTCATGGTGGAAGGTGAGGCCGGTGAAGCTGCTCATCTCATCACCGCCTGGAAGCAGTGGGAGAGAAAGGAGAGAAAGGGCCAGGGACATGATATAGTCTCAAGGGCCTGCCCCCAGCAGCCAGTCCTGTCAGTTTGGTCCCCCTACCGTTCCCACCATCTCCTCGTCCACGTGGCTGCCACGTGGCTGTGCTCCTTCAGTAGTCCCATCCACGATGAGGTCAACCTTCATGATCCAACCCCTTCCCAAGGCCCCCTCTGGACACTGGCAGTGGGGACCAGCCTTAAGCAGCTGGACCCCAGGCACATCCCAGACCCGCCCCAACGCTCACAGGTAGTGGGAGCATGGGGAAGGCCGTGGGGCTCCAGGCTGTAAGCCTCTTCAGGTGGCTGGGTGGTGGCTTTCCTCGCTGAATCGCAGCAAGAGTATGAGGTTTGGGGGATGTAAGTTCAGCTGTGCATCGTGTTGAAGTGGTCTCCCTCCAACATGTCATCAAGGAGGAAGCCAGAAGCAGGGGACCGAAGGAATCTCAGAAGGAATGGAGGTTGGATCTCGGAATCTGGAGCTCATGGCATGGCTGTGGGATACCCAGAGCGAACCCAGTGACTAGAAATGAACTTTGCAGCGTTCAGTGACTGGGTGTGGGAGGCTGAGCCGGCCGGGAAGACAGGGAGAGGAGTGGAAAACCAACTGAGCAGTTTCTGGAAACCAAAGGGAGGGGGTATTTCAAGAAGGAGAGAATAACAGTCAATGGTGCCAAAGGCTACAGACGGTCAAAATAGATGGGGTCTGAACCAATTCCACTGGATTTAACTCCATGGAGATTCTCCGTAACCTCAGGAAGATTAACTTCAGAAATTAAAGTAAAATCCAAGTGCAGGGAAACTTTTTACCCAGTTCAAAATTAACCATATTTCAGAGCACTAACTCTGACCTTAAGCCATAAATTCTGGCCTGGCTGATTCCACAGAGATATGTCACATGCACATTTTTGGAAAGATTTGTAGATTTTTGGACACACAGTGGGATGGGGAAGCAGGTCCAAGTGTGGAGGAAGAAAAGTAACCCCAAGATCTGAATGTGGCTCTCCAGGCCTTCCTTGGCTGACTGTGCTGACCAAGCTCTGCCAGGTCCACTCATGTGTCCAGAGCAGCCTGGCCTCTCTGCAGCTGCAGGCTGGGGTAACTCCCCAGAGCCCCCTGGGGTGGATTCTGTACCTCGGAGGCTAAGGGCCAGAGTGACGGGAGGACAGCGGAGGCAGAAGCCATGTCGTGGCAACATAGCGTCCTGGAGCGGAGGCTGTGGCGGAGACTGCGCTGTGGGGATCCGGTCAGCGGGGCTCGTCCTCCATTCCTCCACCAGGCCCAGCTGCTCGGCTGAGCTCCCGATGTCATGATCATAAACCTCCAGAGCCTGACGGCCTGCTTCTCATCCCAGTCTCTGCACCCCTCACCCCAGGGCAGTGTGGAGGTGTCCTGAGGCTTGGAGACCCTGGCCAACGCCACAGGTGGCCAGAGGACAATTCCTTTCTCCTCCTCTTATGATCCTCCACTTGTACCTTCCTTCCATGTCTCAGTGTACAATATAGTTAATGTAGGAACACTATTGTCCAGAAGACCGATCCGATGGGAGAACGGACTGCCATTTGTATAATACATTAGGAGAATTGATTCACGCAACTTGGCACGTCTCTGCTCTTTACACACTAAACAGCCAGGGAACAAAATGACCTCACTTCTCCCCCAGAAAGCAGAGCTGGTCAGTTGCAGCCTCTTGTAAAGAATGAAGGGGGTCTGCAGGCCAAGGCACTGCCGCTGGTCCTGGGGTCCTAATTTGCATTGGGCTTCTTCTCTCTCGGCTCAGTCAAGACTTCCTCCCACCAGACCAGCGCGTTCAGCTGGGACTCAGGCCTTCACCCTGGGGGTCTGACCTCTTAGCCACCTTGCCCTGACAGTGTGCAGTTGCACCGTTTTCTTTACCGTGGCCACAGAAGCACATGGAGGGGACCAAGGGCTCTATAGGCAGCAGGCAGGCCAAAGTGCAGACGCAGAGAGGCGGGAGCAGCTGGTTTGGCATGTCTTGTTTCTTAATGCGTTTCCAAGTTGCCAGGAGCTCACGTGAAATGCTGCTTTCCACATTTCCACAAGGTTTTACAGGTACCCATGGGCCACTATTCTTCAGACCCTGTTCACCTCCAAGATATTTATCTCCATAGCATTTTTATTTATTTAAAGATAAAATTCAAAAGGTTTATGGCACCAAATGCCACAGAAAACTGGATCAAAATAATACATGAACAAGTTTTAAGAAAAATTTCCCACACATGGACATTGGTATTTATTCAGCTCATCACAGTCGTAGACTTCTATCAATTTCTCTTCATGGGGTTTCCATTACAATCCTCAGAATTTTCTCCTCCTCTTCTCTGCCTCAAATTTAAGAATATTGTAATCTTACTTTCCAGATTTATGGTTCATCAAATTTTGACATTTAAAAGTTGACATTCAGAAGGGATGTTTGATTTAGGCAGAAATTACAGTAAAATATTCCCCCAAGCAGAATTACACAAAACAATGCAAAACAAAAACGATTCACATTAACTAAGAGAAGCTAAGGACCTTTTCAATTGAATGGTGGACGTGTGCAAGACTGAGATGCTCCCGGAGAACTCCACGGCGCTGCTTTGGCTTACAGCTTTTGGACTATGCTTCTGTTGTCTTTCCAATTAGAAGTTTGAAAATATACAAGAAATGATTATGTCTTAAACACAAAGATCAATTCATTGTAAAATCAGCTTATACAGTAGAGAATGAATGAACCCAAAATATCAAAATGGGGAGGGAATTTTACTCATTGTCCAAGTTGATACTGTAGGTTGACAGATAATCGCAAAGATGCACCGCCACCGTTTGCTGTGATCATGACGAGATAGGCTCACACAGACACGCAAGCCCTCACCCGGGTGAGGCACCACGCTGTGTGACCTGCCGTCACCATTGCTTGCTGTTCGCTATCTGCAGGTGAGAAACACCAGACCACCCTCAAAATCCCTGGGGAAGCTGCACCTGCCCTGTCCAGGACCAACGAGAGCGAGCCGACCCACCCCGACGTGCAGGCCTGGACAGACACAGCTTCTGGGCACAGATCAGGGAGGAGTGCCCTGGTCTTGGGGGCAGGGCCTGCCACCTATGTCTCTGCTCAGCCCATGACAATTTCAAAGATCAAAAGCCATTTATAAACAGTCGAACGGAAGGGTGGCCACGGGTCCATCCTCTGAGAAAGCTTACCTGGCTCATCGTCCTTCCCGGCCGCCCAGGATAATGTCCCTGTGCATTCTCAGCTGTCACCAAGACCCTGATACTTGTACTTGGAGATTTGGGGTGGATGTCACTGTGAGGGGTTTTTCTTGCAGCCCCTGTATTGTAAAATCTTGGCTCTCTGCTGGTTTTGTGTCTTGGGAGCTATATTTGCGAAAGGCCAGTTTCAGGAATGTCGCTGAGATGTCTGTGAGTCAGTCCCCTGCCTGGGGGTTCTGAGAGCAAAGCTAGCCCTCTGGGGGATTTGATTTGCACAGGAAATTCTTGGGCTCCCCCATAGTTTCCTGTTTTTCTTATGAACTCACGATAGGAGTGGGCCGTGGTGGGTTGGAGCTGGGCGTGGGCTCTGGGTGCTTCTTTGATCTGTGTGGGAGAGTGGCCAGCGCGGTATCACAGCCAAGTAGTTCTAAGGAGCCTCGGGGTCCCGCCTATGAGCTCGTCCTGGGGGATGTTCCGAGAACATTCTGACTCCTGCCTGCGATCCTCAGTTCCCGATCAGTTCACGATCACACACCCTGACCACTGCCATCTGCACGAGCGCCTAACGGACACTTGGGTCTGGCCCTCCGCAGTCTCCTCGCCTGCCTTCTGTCTCGCTGTCCAGTAGACTCCACTGACCAGCTCCACCCCTGGGAAGGCCGTAGGGACTGCTAGCCCGTCGGATGGCTCGCCATGGTCTAGACCATGAGCTCCTCTGTGGCCTTGCCGTCGGCTCAGTGGGTCCCAGGCCTGGGAACAGGGTGCCCAGCTGGCCGCCCTAAACCTGCCTGGCAGCTCTGCGTTCCTGGGCAGCAGACTGGAACGGTTTCCTTGCAACCCCGTTTCCAGTATCAGTTTTCAGTGGTGTGACAGTGAGTGACAGACGTCCTTGAAACCTGCTAGCAACCCTCACACTCTCGAGAAGGTAGAACAGGACACCGTAGCCGCTCTGGGCACTAGGGTGGGGACACAGCTGAGCCTCTGCTCCATTCCTGCTGCTGGGAAGCTCACTGCCCAAGCCTGGTGTCCCTTGACATGCTCCCAGGGGACAAGCCAGTCACCAGCCCAGCGGGACTCAGGAGTCCACCCCTCAGGAGCAGTAGTCACGATAAGAGGTCAGGAGAGCAGGAGGAACGGGAAGTACCCTTTTGGACGTTTTAGGGAGACACTCTGCAGCCGCTGGGTGGTGGTGGAGTGGTCACCACAGAGCCATGGGGGGGGCTGGGGTGGTCACCGCAGAGCTGTGAATGGTGGTGAGTGGTCGCAGCAGAGCTGTGGGGGGGTGGCTGGGGCCGTGGCAGCAGAGCTGTGGTTCCCCAAGAGGCTTCTTTCTGTTTGTCTGTCTTATTCTTCTCTCTTTCCATGGCAACACTACTTCTCAGTCTACCTGTGGGACAGGGAAGAAGGAGGACGCATTGTCCTGTGGCCTTTGATGTTGCATCTTTAGAAGGGGGACAACAATCCCTCCTGAGTTTTTGACAACTGATGAGATGCTCTGCAAAACAGAGACCCACACACATTCCACTGGGGTCCCACAGCTCCCCATGCCGAGAGGTCACCTGATTCCTTGGCTCCAGGGCCCTCCCTGGGGGGGTCCGCTATGCTGGGACAGGGTCGGGGGCCTGGGCACGAGCTCTGGGGCTGTCTAGACCAGGCAGCAGTCCTGAAGATCCTGCCAAATTTCTTCCACCAGTTTACTTCCCCAAACTTATTTCAAAACTATATCGTCAGCCTCAGAATTTTTATTCCCCCATTAAAAGTGTGCGCCATCTTAGAATTCCCAGGTGCCCTTTGCAATTAGCATAGCCGACGTCCGTGGTTAATGGAACATCAGACTCACCGTGGGGACGGCAGCCGTGCTCAGCAAAGTGCTTGGTTGGGATCCATTTATGTCTTGTTCTTGTATCATTTTTGGTTGGGGTGGGCCCAGGACAAACCTTGAGGCTGGCGAACGTGCCTGGTTTTTCTGCCTGCCTGCTTTCAATATCCTTCCCTAACATGGTGCGTGGACACACATGTGGGTGTCCAGACCTGTGTGGGCCGTGGTGCATGCACACACACACACACACACATACACACACTCCCTGGGTCTGCAGCTGGGTGTCTTTAGACTTCTTGCCTTCCCGCTATCTGGGGCCTGTCTTGGCCTACTCCACCCAGCTCTGGGCTCCATCTCCTGGACCCCCCCCCCCCAACAACCTCTTGTTCCAACCCAGTTCTGGGCAGGCTGTGAACTAACACCTGACACTTTTTACTGTAGATAAGCATGGCCAGATGCAGACTCTGGGAACAGTTTCACGTGCTTATTCCTGGGTCTCCAGCAGCTGGAGGGTGCCTGGTGGGTGTGGACGCTGGGTGAGTAGTGGCTCCGTGGCATGCCTGGGAGTCACGTGCCAGTCTGCGCTCAGTGCTCACATGCTTAGAGGAACGATGGAGCGGATGGCCCATTGTGAGGTCCCAGGCAGAGGTACTTCTGGCCCCACCCTTAGTATCTCTCAGATCACAGGGAGTGACTTTCACCCCTGGTTCCTGTGCGTGCCCACCCACTCTCCCCTTTGCCTTCTTGGTCTGTTCCCATGCAAACTCAGCAGGAGGATGTGGGTCTCAGCTGGGCAGCTGGAGTGATCTGTGGAGCGAGGCCTGCCTGCACACGGGCTTGCTGGGCTGGGTGAGCTGCTGCAGGAGCAGGGCCAGTGCTTGCTCCCCTTGGGCTCCCTGCGGCCTTCCTTTTCTCCTGGTGGAGCTGGGTTAGCAGCAGGAGCCTCAGGGACACTTCTCACAGGACATGGAGAGGCCTTGGGGATGAGGGTCGACCTGGAGTGTAGCAGCTCCCGGCCGCCCTGCAGGATGCGCAGGGGCTGGGGTCCGGCCCTTGTGGCCAAGTGCTGGATGGGTGGCTCCACTGAGCCCCAGCTCTGTGCTGCCCACAGCTCCGAGGAGGGACTGGCACAGCGTGTGGCTTCCTTGGGATGACAGATACCTGAGTTTCTAGGTTTTACTTCTGATTATGCAAATAAACACTCAGGCAGGGACGTGCAGAGGTGCTGGAGTTATCTCAAAAACCATGAGTGCCTCTGTGATTCCCGCCAGCGTCTGACTGTGTCATGCTCATGACGTGGCCAAGTATTTTTTTCCCATTATCACTTGTATCTTGAAGAGCAGCATTTTCCAAATTTTTCCCCAAATCATAAGTTGTAAAAGATGCCACATTAAAACAATGCTGCTGATAGGTAAGTTTTGGGGACAACTTCATTTTAATTCACCCTCTCAGAGATTTCCGAAGCTCATTAGCATATTAAATCCCAAAGGCGTATTTAGTAAGTCTCCTTGGCTAACTTACAGTGTCCGGCTTGCATGACCAGAGGAACTCCATATTTCTTCCCGGTAGTGCCCTCATGTCTGGGGCCACCCACCCTGGAGGACCAAGTGCTTGTGTATTTGATTTCCTTCTGGTGCTGGATGGAACCTCCATGGCCCCCAGCCAGGCCCGGCCCCTCCTTCAGCAGCAAGTCTGGTGGCTTCTCCGCCCTGGTGCTCCTCCACGCCCCTGCAGCTGTTCTGTCATCATCAGTCCTGAGTGCGGGGTGGCTCGGGGCCGGGCCGGGTCACTTCATGTACTCATCCCTGCATCCTCACACCTGAGCCAGGTGGACAGCCACGTCCAGGAAGTCGACCCAGGAGTCTGTGCCCGGCGTGCTTCTGACGAGGTGCGAGGGGCTTCTGATGGTTCTCCTTCTCTCTGTCTCTTGCTCTCCCTCAGCCAGCGACCCTCAGCCAGTGGGCAGCCTTGTCCTTCTGTGGCTCAGGAAGAGTCACCTTCTCCTCCTTCCCTCCCACACCTCCTGCCCTGGGTGTGGCATGAGCTGGGAGGTGCTGCCTGGGCTCCTTCAGGAAGGGGTCGATCCTGGTCAGGTGCTGAGGAGAACAGCGGCGGGTGCAGGGCCGGGGAGCAAGGGGCTGGCAAGGCTTCTCTCCAGGACAGGGGAGGCCATCTTCCCGCGCACCCCCTCCCTGCCCTCCAGCCCTGGAGAGGTGCCCGAGGCAGGCATCCTAGGGTCCTGTTGTGGCCTTTGATAAATCACCTCTTCCAATGCAGCGCCACCCTCAAAGGAAATGCATTCTTAGCTCCAGTGACAGAAACTAGCTTCACATAACGAGACTGTGGATGGCTTGGTCCCCAATTCACTGGATTGATGTCACCCACTGCCACCTGCGGGGGCTCTTCACTGAGAGTGCTTCTGCTGCAGGCCCCAGAGGGTGGTTCTCCACACGGTTGGTCTTAGGGCCGGTTTACATACTCAAAAATCATTGAGGACTCTAAACAGTTCATATTAATTTATCGTATTAGAAATTTAATAAAACTCCAAAAAATATATCTATGTAAATTCATTTAAAACTCACAAAATAAACATTTTTCATGAAAAATAGCTATGTTTTCCCAGATGGAAAAAGACTAGTGAGAGAAGACGTGTTGCCTTGTGCAATCACGTCTATTCAGTCGCCTTGCTTTTTCTTTTTCTTTTTCCCAGAACCCAGGGAACTCTACCAGGAGCCACGTGCCAAGTCCTTTTTATTTGTGATTTCAAGACAGGGTCTTGCTGACTTGCTGAAGCTGGCCTTGAACTTGCCATCCTCCTGCCTCAGCCTCCTGAGTACCTGGGCTCTTGCTGCCTCGTTGGTGATGGAAGAAGCTTCTGGATGCACCTTATTCTGCTCTTCTGGTCGAAGGCATGAAGAAACCCGGCCTCACCCAGGACACTAGAGAAGGTGGTGTCCTGAGGTCAGTTGCATGGAAGAGCTGAACCATCCCAGGGAACTTTCCATATTTGATGACGTCAGTCCATCCATCTGCCTTGCACTTTGAATGGATCTTTGGCCTTAAATAGTCAGTTTTGCAACCTTGCACTGGGTTCACAGAGCTCGGCAGATTCTCCAAGTGTTGACATCTACCACAAACCCCACACGTCCGTTTTCACTGGTCGGGTCAGAACGCAGTCTGTACTGGGAAGATGTCAAGTTCACCATGATGAATAGGTTTTCTATTTTTCCTGGAAAGCTGTATTTTTTTTTTCCTATTAGAAACATTGTCGGCTGCTTTTCTTAAAGTCATATGCTTACCTATGTTTGTTTTCAGGAAAATGTTTTCTGATCGGTCATCTGAACAATCATGGGGACCTGTTGGTCCTTCTCTCAGGTACTATAAAAAATGCTGTTCCTTGAAAATGGTAGTTGAGTCAGTGCACAACTCAGGTAACTGTGTCGTTGCTTTTTCCTAAGACGGCTATTGTTTTCTGTATCCAGCAGAGTGACTTATGAGAACTTTCTATTTCCAAACAGAATATTGAAAAGATATGCACTGGAGGGTCAAGATTTGATAAAATCAGAAAGTTTAATTCCTTTATCAAAAACTTTCTTCAATAAAGCTGACTTTATTTTTTAAAACATTGAGGGTTTGGTATGAAGAAGAATACGATGAAAATCTGTAGTTTGTGCTGTGCCCTCCGCCATGCTGTTCTCCTGAACCAGGGGCCCAGAGCAGCGAGTCGGCCTTGGACTGGACCTCTGATGCTGTGAGACCCAAATACACACCCTTCCTTGAAATCATTCTCCTGAGGTCTTTTGATCACAGGGTGTAAATGCTTCTCAGAGCTTTCCACCAGCAGCAGGAGATGAGTGTGGCTCATGAGTACATTTTTCCCCAGGAAGGTCCCCCTCCGTGGAGACTTGGGGATAGACCACGTTTGCACACACACATCAGTCGAGGTGGGCTGGACAATACCCAAGTGCTCTCCACTCCAAGTGCCTCAGGTCTTTCCAAGAGTCCCGAGTCCTGTGTCTGCCGTGAGTCTGACCCACACACAGCACGCAGCACTTCCAGACTCTCTAGAACAGGATTCCTTTTCCTAGCCCAGACTTGAAATGTGAGTGGGAAACGATGACTGAGCAGTTGCGTCTAAGTGTGTAGGAAAGACAGTGGAAGTCCGGGAGCTGGTCAGTCTCTCTCCCGCAGCTGGCCAGAGGCCGGGACATGTCTCTGTCCACTGAGAGGGAGGCACCTCGGGCTTAGCATGCCGTCATGTGGCTCGGCATGCCAGTTGCCGAGGGCCTAAGGGATGGTCTGACCTCCTAAGTGGGAGCAAGAAAGTGAGGTCACTGTAAAGCGGGAAGGGCCCCTCACACACAGGACACCCTTTCTGTCACGGTCTGTTTTTTTGGTACCAGGGATTGAACATGGGGGCACTTAACCACTGAGCCCCATCCCCAGCCCTTTTATTTTTATTTTGAGATAGGGTCTTGTTAAATTGCTGATGGCCTTGCTAAGTGGCTGAGGCTGGCCTTCGGCATGTGATCCTCCTGCCTCAGCCTCCTGAGCCACTGGAATCATAGGTGCACCACAGCCCCCAACCACACAGTCGCTTTTGGGTGGGATTCAGTCTCCAGCCATCTGCTCAGTTGATCTGTGTCTCTGTGCAAACCGTTCCTGCTGCAGCTTGGATTTGTGGGTGGAACAGCGTCAGTTGACTTTACCTTGCCCGTGTCTTGGTGCCTTGACAAGCGTTACCGGCAGGTTATGATTTGTGCTGATTCTACGTGATTCATGGGCCACACTTGCAATCACATTGAGAGGGTCACGGTTCCCCGCCAATGCAGGTCCATTAGGCACTTAGATAAGGAGCTGGTATTGAGTGCTTTCCAGTCCTCCTGAGGGGGCCAGAGACCCGGAGTCTGCAACAATAACGATCTCAATGCTGGGAGAGGCTGTGGCTGTCGTGGAAAGGATGAATCCTGTCGGAACCATCTTGGCGCTTCCTGGCCAGTGCTGCGTCTCGAGACACGGCCAAGCCTGGCTAGGCCCCTTGGCATGTCCAGGCAGATGGCCTGGGGCCAACACCTGGAACTGGAGCTGCCGACTTGAGTGGGCACTAAGACCCAGCTGCAGACACTGGGCCGACCCACCACCTGGCCATCTGGATGCTGTGTCTTAATGGCGGGTGCATCCTCGGGGGTAAGGCTGAGGCCCCTGGGGTCCGGCCTGGAGGGAGGAGGTGCACCCAGGAAAGGCTGCTGTCCACCCAGAGGGCCCCCAGCAAGGCAGGAGGGCGCAGCTCCCCTGGTCCTTGACTTCCCAGGCTCCTGGGGATGTTTGAGCTGAAGGACTGACAGACCAATCATATGCTGGCTATCAGCACAGTAGTATAGATCTGTTGAAAACTGAAGGATAAAAAAGTGCACCAAGAAAGAATTATTTTCAAAAGAAAGAAGAACGGGTGATACCATTGTCAGCTGAGTTGCCTTCAGAGCAAAGCACCTGCGAGACCCGTGAACCACACTGACCTAGAAGGAAACATGGACAGACCCACACTTACAGCTGTGTGCCCTCTCCGCAACTGAAGAGAAAACCAGCAAGGGTGCAGAGGGTCTCCAAAGCTCCGCCAAGCAACAGACCTGATGGACATTCACAGGACACCCAGCCGCAGAGATCCAAGGATGTCACCTCTGCACATTTATAAATATCCAGGAACACACGCCAGTGGGAACTGCATAGTGAGCCACTAGACAGAGACAGCAACACACTTGAAATAATTGGAGTGATACAGAGTGTTCTGTGATCCCAGAGGAATCCAATGAGGAACCAAAAAACGAAAGATAACAGCAAAATCTCCAAACACTTAAACCAAAACAACACACTTCTAAGTAATCCTCACATCAAAAAGAAAGTCTCAAGACAACTAGAGTATACACGGAGTCCTGGAAATGGAAATACGTTAAAGGTCGTGGTGGAAGAGCAATGTGTGGCACTGAAGGCTTGCATTGGGGCATAGCCGGGCTCACATCCATCATCCAGCTCAGCTGGGACAAGAAGAATGACCCAGGCCCAAGCAAGGAGAAGAAAGAAAGCTGCGAGGACCAGGCAGAAGTCCATGAGAGGAAAGCAGAGATCATCAGGGAAACAAGAAAAGAAAAATTGATGGATCTCAGTAAGACTGACAAGGGCCAAGGGACAAATGTAAGTCACAACATCAACAGTGAAAACAGAACCACCCCTGCAGAACCCACCTCCATCAAAGGTGGAAAACCCGGGTAGACCCACCTCCAGCAAGGAATAGAGCTGATTCTGCAAATAGCCACCCACACACCACACACACACACACACACACACACAGCACACATTACACACACACACATCACATACCACATACATACCACACACACACACACATACACACACACCACACACACGAGATACCTTAATGGGTCACTTCTAGAATCAAACTACCACTGACGGACTCAGTAGAAAGAGGCATTTTGCATGGCTCTATAAATATCAAGGAAACTGAGTTTCCATTTACACTCCGCACAGCAGCCTCCAGGTGCAGACAGCCTCACTGGAGATTCTACGAAAAGGTTTAAGGAGGAATCAACATAACTCCTACATTAAACTCAAAGAGAGGACACTGGCAAAATCATTTTAGAAAGCTAATGTCACATTGATATTAACACTAGACACAGAAAATATTTAAAATATCACATATCAGAAAATATTAAAGTTAATATTACATTAATGTTAAAACTAGATAGTAAAGAAAGAAACCTACAGACCCACAACCTCATGAGCGTATTGTACACACCAAGTAAAGGTGTTCTGGTCAATGATGGACTGTGTGAGCAACGGTGGTTCTATAACATGCTGAAACTGGAACCATCCTGTCTGGTGACGTCATAGTCATGATGACATCACAGCACAAGCATCATTCGTGTGTTGATGTTGGTGTGACAGATGGCCTACAGGGCCAATTGTATAAAGCACAGCACACACAGTATAGATAGGACATGACACTGGATGATGATAATAAAGGCAGTTTCTGGTTCAGGGACGTGCTGTAGGATCCGCTTAGTCTCTATGCCAAAGTGTGCCTTTCTGCTGTCACACAAGTTCACTGGAAGGCAGTGTGCTGTGCTCCCAGTGCTGGCCTCCATGGCTCACAGTCCCCTCCACTCTGGATTGTATCGTTTTCCCTTGTGCTTGGTTCGGTCCCATGCTCTAGGAGCAATAGAGGCGACGTGTGCTGCACAGACGGCAGGGACCAGCGCGTGTTTCCAGGGGTGCAAAGCCATCTCTGCATTGGAAAGTCAGTGAATGTCCAACACCACGTTCCTAGACTGAAGAAGAAAAGTCACATGATCTTATCAACTGATGCAGTTCAGCATTCGACAAAGTTGAATGATTTTTAAAGGTTCATAAACATAGGAATATAAGAACTTCCTCATCTTGATAAAATGAATCTACAAATTCTACAACTAGCATCACACTTAATTGTAAAAGACAGCACGCTTTCTCCTAAGATTAGAAATAAGACAAGAATGTCTGTTCTCATCATGCTTATTCAACACAGGACGATAAGTTCTAGCCAGTGCAATGAGGCCAGGAAAAAAAGGGATAGGGATGAGAGAGAGAGAGAGAGAGAGAGAGAGAGAGAGAGAGAGAGAGAGAGAGAGAGAGAGAGAGGCTTTCTGATGGCTCACGTAGTAAACCCCAACATGCCTACAAATGCTACACTTTATAAGTGAGTTCAGCAAGATTTCAGGATACGAGGACCATATTCAAGGATTGGAAGACAACACTAAAGATGTCAATTCTCCACAAATTGATTTACAGTTTTAATGTGATACTTAACAACTTACAGAAAAATTTAATAGGTATAGATGGGGTTATTCTAAAATTTATATGGAAATGCAAAGGAATTGAATGACTAAAATAATTTTGGAAAAGCATAAAGAGAGAAGAGTCAGTCTGCCTGATTTCAAGACCTACTGTATACCCTCACTAACCAAGACTCTGGAGTTAGGGGTGCAACAGTCAGACAGATTCATGGGACTGAGACGTGGAGCCAGCTGAGTTTTGGCAAAGGTGCAAAAGCAATTCAAGGGGGGAGGGACAGCTTTTCCAACCCATGATGTTAGAACAACTGGACATCTCTGGACAAAAATATGGGCCAGGACCTAACACACATCCACTTTATACAAGAATTGATTCACCAGACTTAAATGTAAAATTGGAACTACAAAACTTACAAAAAAAATGTAGAAGAAAATCCTTGGTATTTAGGATAGGCAAAAGGATGTTAGAGTTAACTGTGAAACTACAATATGTAGACAGCAAAAGCAATAAACTTCATTAAAATATTAAACTTCTACCATGCAAAGGACCCAGGTGGGGTGAAAATACAACCTGTATCCTTGGAGAAAATATTGGAAACTGCTTTTTTATAAAAGTTCTAGTATCTATACAGACTGCATACAAATTCTCAACTCTTACCTGTAAATAACTCAAGAAGAAAATATGCAGACATAAATAGAAATCTTACCAAAGAGGATATGCAGATGGCAAAGAAACAAATGCAAAGATGTTTAGCATCTTTAGCCATCAGAGAAGTGCAAATTCAGACCACAACAGGATTCTGCTACAGGACTTGCCAGAATCACTACAGTAATGGTGCAGCACCAAGTGGCGTGAGGATGCACAGCACCTCCACCCGCCCTACCAGGTCTCTGTGCAAGCTCTGCATACAGCGACACACATAGGCACGAAGTCATGCTTGCAGTAACATACAATGGTACCGCTACACCAGAAAATAGCTTGCCACTCTGGGGTGCACAGGAGCACAGGCTGGTTAGCAGCGCCATCCTGGAATGTGCCAGAATTCCAGAGTCCCAGGAAAAGAGCAAGCTGGTTCCAGACCACTTCACAGCCTCAAAGCTCCACCTAGCCAGAGACGCCCCAGGTCAGGAGTTTCCAGAGTGTGTCCCAGGGCCCCAAATCTGCATCACTCTGCTGGGAGTGGTCCAGATGCCAAGGGTGAGCTTACTCTCTTTAAGTGTCTGTGAAAGAATCAAAAGTAGGGTAATATTTCATGATGTGAGACTGAGACAATTACAGGAAGCCAGACTTTCTATCCATAAACAAAGGGTTTGGGTCCCTTGCTGTGCTTGTTTATTTGCACTGTAATTCAGGACTGGGTGGTGACAACAGACTGCCTGCCGCTGAAGCCCGAGGGGTTTGCTGAGTTGAACGGTAGGGGACAGGTTTGTGACCGCCCTCTAGATGGATATTATAAATGAGAAATTCAAATGTTTCATCAGATGGAAAGATTTCTCCTAGAAATCTAAAAATGTTCGGTCCTATCAAACTGTTTCATTGCTTCAAATAATAGCAACAACTGTAAGTGTCCACCCAAGACCAGTGTTTTCTGCTCTTGTGGGCTGGAGTCGCACGTTCCCAGTTACCACACGGGAGGATGCTGCTCTTACTGCTGGAAGGCTCAAGGCTTTGACCTAAAGTGCTCTGTCTCCAACATACAGAATGACTCTTTTAAATCATGGACGAAAGGAAGTGTCCGAGGCCAGCATGCCTGGTT